TCACTCATCTTGCCCACTGCTTCTGGTTTAAGAGTTAAGTCAGTCATGACCGCAATATGAAAAGCAAGAAAATAGATTTTTATTGTGAGCAATTAGTACTAGCAAAGAGTCAGTAACTTTCCTGAATGATGATGTTGAAGGCCCTGGGCCATTCTGCAAGGAGCAATCACTGGTTCACAGTTAGGGAGGCTATATATCCCCTAGGGAAGGCTCTTTACTGCCAGACAGATCAATACAGAGCCCTTCTACAAAAAAAAAAATAAAAAATAAAAAATAAGTAAAACCCTCAGCCACTAAGAGTATTTGTGGAAAAACAAGGGGAAGAACAGCAGTGATGGGGGTAAGATGGTAATGCCAGTGAGTCCCTGCCAACCATGGCCCTTCACAGGGCCTCTTCTGCTGACCATGTAGGCCCCTCTGTCAAGAAAGATGATGCAGGGTCTTCTTTGTTCAAGCCTGGCCCTACCTCTCTGTGTCACATTGCTATGATGGACCACACCATGGGGATGCATGGGGAAGCATCACACCTGGTAGGGAGACCCTTAGAACCCCATTCCTCTTTGAATTCTGCATTGGTGCTCCTGAAGCACACAGCATGTGAGGTCGCCCCTGTGAGAGGCCCACACTGCGGCCAGGGTTGCATTCTCACTTTGCTCATCAGTGACTTGATATAATATGTTCAGTTCATGGGCTCAGTACATGTGTCAGTGATATTCATGTTCAGACACACAAAGTGTTTATGACAAATCCATCTTCTGTACCCAGAGTGGGAGCCTGTATTTTAACAAGTACAGTCTGATGATTCTAATGTAAGAGATGAAAGACTGCACTTTTAGATACACAAACTTGGTGGAACGAAACTGGATAGTGTGCAGCTGGTAGCAGATGTACACGATGGTCCACAAATGATCAGGAAGCACCTGTTATATGCCAAGCACTGTAGTGTGCACCACAGAAAGTCACAGACACAGAGACATAAGCGGCTCACTGTCGTGAGTAAGGGAAAGAATCAACTATCGGTAATAAAATGCTTGCCTATAAAAAAATGCTATGAGGAACCAAAGGGAGAGCAAAGGCCACAAGTATGACTCCTCATGACTAAGAAGCAGGATGCTAGCAGGGCCACTGAAGGTAGGCAAGGAGACATCTTGCATCCCGAGAAGCAGGAACCTCAAGAGATAAATTTTACTAGCTCCCAAGTGCATGGTCCATCAAATAAAAGGGTCAGAGGTTTACTGTAACTGAGGGGTAAAAAGGACGAATGGCAATGCTTTGGAGCCATGGAATGGCAATGACAAAGTTAAAAGGGAGGGTTTCATATTTATAGTAACAAAATATAAACTGGTATAATATGTAAGTCCATGGTTTTCTTCGAATGCTATAGTATGGTGGACATATGAAGCAACAAAGATGGGCAGAAAAGGAAGAGGTTAGAGAGAAATCAACTCAGTTTGGAATACTCAGAACAGCATTCAGACTATGAACCTCCTGGCTCTTGACTTCAGAAGAGAGCTGAGGGTTATAGAAAGACATCTGAAAGTGACCATTGGCGTGAAATAGCCACTGCAGAGAGAGTGCAATTGCTATGTGGAGAAGTCACAACACCTTGAATATTGTGCCAGGTCTAGGAGTTAAGGAGTAAGCAAACAGGATCAGAACTCTTCCCTGTGAGAAATGGCCAGTCATTGGTGGAGAAGTTGTGGACAAAAGATACACCAGGGGCCTGGGGTACATGTGTGAAGGCATGTATGCCCTTCTGCTTCAGTGGTCATGGAAGGTCTCACCTGGAAGACAACACACAGGCAGAGTCTGGAAGGACAGAAAGAGAAAACTGCAGATGACTTGGGAAGGCAGTCCAGACAGCAACAGCATCACTGGCAAAGGCCTGTGCTTGGGATATTGGATAAAGAACAAAGAGACCGATGAGCTTCAAGGCCAAGGCAGGTGGGAGACTGACAGGGCACAAAGTACTCAATCTCTGCTTCATTCAATAGTGATTACAGATGACTCCAGGATTTGAGGCCTGAGCAACTGGAAGAACAGAAATGCTGTTAACTGGTCCTAGCTAAGCTCAGGGGACAGGTGTGGGGCAGCTGAGGGTGTGGTATGGCACATGTGCAGTGGACACAGGGGGTGAGTGGGATCTGCCTGTGGAGTTTCTGGAGTCACTAGTTTCAGCTGGAGCTGCAAGCCTTTCTTGTACCTGGATGACAGCCCTGGTGTGATGAAGCAGGGACAGGCCCCAGGGCTGGGTCCTGTAAGAAACAGAGGGGAGGGGGTTTACCACATGATGACCAGGAAGTAGTCAGAAACATAGCCAGGGTAGAAGGCAAGAACTAAGAAAAGAAATGGTTTTGAATATCCAGCAAAGGAGAGTCTGGGCTTCTTCACTTCATAACCCCTCCCCAAATGCTGAGATTCTTAGCCATACAGCCCATTTTTTTTTTAACCAAATAAGGATCTGTTGTAGTGGATTACTGAAAATCCAAGTAATGGCTGAAGGGCTCTCCAATTTACCCAGTGGGGAAGTGAACTTAGGATGCTGGCTTCCCACTACTGAATGCAGATAAGCTGTGCTGGAGACTGGTAGAGCAGCACAGTGATAAAGATGTTAACGGCTGAAACCTGTGTGCACGTGCTATGTGGAGGCCAGAGGTCAACCTCTGATGTTCCTCAGGAATGCTGTCCACCTTGTTTTCCTGAGACAGGATTTCTCACTGGCCTGGAGCATAGGTCAAGTAAAGATAGGATGGCTGGCCAGTGGGTGCCAGGGACCCACCTGCCTCTCCGGTCCTCTAATTATAAGAGTGTACCAACATGTCTGGCTTTTTACTTGGGCTTGAGGGAAAATATTTGGATCCTCAGGCTTCAGTAGCAAGTTAACTGAGTTAGCTCCTCAGTCTCATCAGTCAAAACTTATTAAGCACTTAACTCCATTTCAGGCACCTGCCATGATAAATCCTATAACTGTGCTCAGTTTACATTATGAGAGTGCAGCTTAGGGAGAGTGGGTCAACTTTGCTCTTTGTCACAGCAGCCCAGAAAGTGGAACTGGATAAGAGGCAGGTGCCAAAAGAAAGTTCTAGGTAGTAAGAGGCCTTTGGATGCTGTGAACTCAAAACTGAAGGAAAGTTCCCTTGTGGGCTCTCTGAAGGACCCTGACACTCTGCACTGCTGTTTCTCTGGGGGAAAATTTAAAAGTTAACTTCTAGAACCTGTGGTGTTCACAACTCTGAGTGTGGCAGTGGTCAGCAGAGCCTCTGCAAATAAAGACAGTAGATTGATTCCCAGAGGAGAAAAAATTCAATAAAAATTATGATGATGAATCAGGCAAGATGAATTTATATGCACAATGTTGAAGCTAATTACAATTTATAAATGAATGCAGCCATTTCCATTAAAGATTTGGATACTATGGAAATAGCATTTCATTTATTGACTTTTTAGAGGAAAAAAATGTGCAAATCTATAGAAAGACAGTAGTTTCTTCCTTTACTAAAGCTATATATTCTTATCGCTGCTCCCCCCTCTGCCCCCAGTGCTGGGAATCCAACCTAGAGTCTTGTTGATGCTACAGAAGTGCTCTACCACTCAGCTACACCATCAGCCCACATATTCTTAAGACACTGGATAGTTTTTAAGTACATTTTGTTATATAGTATTGATACCTTAAAACTTTCCTAAAAAGTGCTGTTCTCCTAAGTAGACCAAATTTTTACCTGTTTAAAAAGGAACTCTCTCAATACTGTTTACACCAGTCCTCACGTCCACAGTTTGGACCACAGGCCAGGTGTAATACCTTACTTAACACAGATGCCAGGTAACCACAACCCAGTTAGCTCACACCTTTGAAAAGGAAGACATGATTTCATTCTGCTAACGCTTGCCAACCTGCTCCTGTTATGACAGTAAAATGCTCTCTGAATCCCATAATGAAAGTGAAAATGTTTTTGAAATGAGACTCTCTCTCTCTCTCCCCACCCCCTACATCTTTGGGTTCCTGAGAAAACAAACGGACTCCAAGTGCCAAGCCTTAGAGATAGGTGCTAATCCCAATAGGAAGAAAGAAACAACTTGGTCTTCACTTCAAGTATCACTTTTAAAAATCTCTTGCAGGCATTTTGTGTAAACTTAAAAAAAAATCGACAACCCTGCATCAGTGTCAACTAAGTAAGTCTCTCGGGAAGCTGTCATTTACATTTCCTCCTAACTCTTACACCATGGCAGATACAGTTTTATGAAAATTCCCACCAACTGCTTTGGGATGACAGATGCTAAGAAAAGGGCTGGGCAGTCATACATGTTATCTGCATCAAAACTCTGCTCCTAAACCGCTCAGGCACAGTCCTGGGTGCCTGGACTCAGCAAACGTACAAGGCCAATCCCTGCTCTGTGAACTTCAAGGCATCGAGTCTGGGGACAAAGTGAAAATAAGTTCACACTGGAGCAGGGTCACGTCGAATACTGTGAAGAAAAACAAGGCAGGATGGAACTACCGGATGGTGTGTTTGCGCGCGCGGGGTGTGTGTGTCAATTTTAGACAGGAAGCCTCTCTGAGGAGAGGACACCGAAGCTGACCCAGGCAAAACTCCTGGGTGACGGACAAGGTGTGCTGCTGCTGGCTGCAGAGGTCCCAGTTCACAGCCTAGGCTGAGGAGACGCTGGAAGCCGAGTCCACGCACCTTCCGCAGGCTGGGGCGCAGGTACCCGCCGTGCGGTACCACCCACCTCGCACGCTTCCCGGCTGAGGGCTTTTCCCCATGTCACCGTGAAGGTTGCATCCCAAGCAAGCGCCGCGCCCCTGTGCCGCGGCCCGCCCGCTGGGCCCGGGGGCGGGGGGCTGAGTATTTGGGACCGGTGGGGTAACTTCAGGCTGAGCGCTGTGCCCGCCCTCGGTTGAGCTCCGGCGTCCCGGCCCGCTGAGGTCAGGGGCTGCGGGGCGCGGTGCCCGCTAGGGGCCGAGGCCGGGCGCGCGCCGGGCGGGACAAAGCGGCCCTCACCTGTCCAGCCAGAAGGTCCAGGGCGAGTGCAGAGGGACGTCGCCAGGCTCGGGCCGCAGCGCGGAAAGCGGCAGGCCGAGCGGCGGCTCCCGGGTCCCGGCGGGGGGCGCGGCAGCAGGGGGCAGCGCCATGTTCTCCGCCCGGCCTGCCAGGCCGGCGGACGCGCGGACCCGGGCGAGCGTGTAGTCACCAGGCCCGCCGCCCCGCCCCACGCCCCGCCCCGACCGGAGCCGCTGCCCCAGATCAACAAAGGCCGGCCTGCCCCAAGCTCTGTTCGGCGTCGCGCCCGGAGCTCGGGACCTGGGGATGCGGCCCTAGGGGTTGAGATGGAAAGGCAGACCAAGGGCTGTTGGAGCGCGCGGTGGAGGACCAGAGGATGTAGTCCCAGACTCCAGCAGTGAGGGAAGGAGGATGAACTGACATACCAGCAGTCGGAAAGATGGGCGGGAAGGCTAGCAGATGGCTGGAGGAGGGATGGAGGGATGGAAGGGCAGATGGAAGCACTGTTGGATGTGACAGATAGATGGAGAGGCAACCAATGGCCGAACAGATAGAGACTCCCGATGCCCGAAAGTGCAGAAACACTGGGTGAGAGACAGAAGACAGAACAGAGGCAACGCTGGCTAAGGCCACTGGGTAGCATTGGAGCAAGTCGGCTTTGCATGCCTAGTTGAGAGAAAAAAAAAGTTGCCTAACTCAGCTTATCGGAAGGGACCAGAGCCCCTTTCCTGCCCTCTCTAGAGTCACCACGTGCTCACAGAAGAAGGCTCTGCTCGGGGCGCTGTGTGCTGCCAAGAGTGTCCTAAGAGTGGAACAAAGTTCTCCAGGCCTGCCTTTAAGCCTGGTGGAGGAAAAGAAAGCCACAGTTCACTCACAGCCTGCACCTGGGAGCGTCCGGGAAGTCATTGTGGCCATGACATTCCTGAGTTTGCAGTAAGAGGAATCCTCCTAGCAACACCCCTCCCTGCGGAAGCTGACACTCGGTTCTTATGAAAGGCCACACAGAGCCCTACCCCTAGGCCTGGACACTCTTTTCTACTTGAACTTCCAGGTCATCCCTTTCTGGCCTTTAGCCAGGAGAGCTGGTCATCCCACACAGTTTCCACCTGGCCTGACGTTCCTTTAACTCTAGGGAGAAGTGCTGGAGACCAGGTGGGGTGAGGGTCCCATGGGCAGGGCAGGTGTCCTCCCCACCTCCAAGGTAACCAAGGTTAGAGAGAATGACAATGAAAACAAGACAATCCCTGTTTGGAATGTAACTTCCACAAGATGCTGGAAACAGTGACCATTTTATAGTCTTTCCATTACTGACCTACTGGGATCCATTTGCTTAGAGGCTTTTGTCATTGTCTAATATTTTAATTGTTTTCAAGAAAACACATGTATGGCATTGTTAAAGCCTTTCTGATCACGTTACCCAATTTAGCTTGTATACTCCTTACAATAAAGGTACTATACACCCATCCTACAGATGAAGAACAGGGAAGATAGACCAACCCCAAGGTATGCAGCTAGTAAATGGCAGAGCAGGGATTTGAACATCTGTCTTTAGGCTCTAGAGTCTATGCTTTCCATTGCTTGTCTGAATGGAAAATGAACAGGTCCAGAGAGTCAGAAATAAGTCAGAAATAGGAGGTTCGCATTCCTCCAAAGACCATCAATCTTCCTCCCAAAGGAAACCACTGCTAACAGCTTCCTTCCAGAAAGATGCACATCTGTTTATACAATCATATATCTAGATTTATAAATAATATTTTTAATAAAAGAAATAGAACTGTTTAACACTAATGCCGCACCTTCTTATTTGATGTAACATGTCTTTGAAGGTTTTCCAGAGTAAAACATAAAGATCTATTTCATCACAAGGGCTTCAACAGAATTCATGGTAAAGAAGTACTATCATTTGAATCGCTAGCCTTTGACAGCATGTAGTTTCTAGCCATTTTGTTATATAAATAAGTCCACCATGGGTATCTTTATATTTACATCTTTCCTCATCTATATAAGCTTATTTTAGAGAGTAAATTTCTCGCAGAATTGCTGCCTGCATTTAAAAATCTGATACAAATTGCCAAGTTGTACAAGATAAGTACATGAATTTATAAGATTTATAAATAGCATCTGAATCTGAAAATTTCTACTTACTAGGTGGCATTTATCAGTGTAAAATTCTAAGGCACTGGTAGAGAGGCTGTTTGCTTTCTAATAATTACAGCTAGTCAAATTGTCAAAGTTTGATTCTTATATCTTACAACAATCTCTCAGTCAGGAAGGACTCCTTTAAAATTTTTCATGTGCAATTCCTATAAAAGGAAGTGAGCACAACACAATAAATTCCTTCCAGAATTTAGAATCTGGAAGTCTGAAAGTTCTCTAACACTGAGAAGAAATTACACATCACTTTTTTTTTTTTTTCGCTTTGGCTTCTAGGATGCTCAAAATCATGTTTGTTATTTAATCATGACATGGATATTAATCAATGAAGAAGCATAACTATTTTCATATTTTTATTTCAATCTTAATGGCCTAACTGCATGTATGCGTTTTATACTGTGAAGTCCTGAAATCTATTTGGGAACTTGGTGATTATATAATAGGTAAAATATAAATGACCTTAAAGTTAATAAAAGAGTTTGACCAACATGGCTAGGGAGAAGTAAGGAGGGACTAAGGTAACAACTTCCATCCTCTCTCTGTTTGACATATGTAAGAGAACTGTGCTAATTGTTCCTCAAAATCATACTTCTATAAGAACAAATTAAGAAAATTTCCCTTGTATTCTCCACTCTGCAAGTAGATGGCAGGAATTAGAACCTCTGAATAGAAAGAGAACTTAGGGATCACCTACGCAAACCTCTGACTATACGAAGAGGAAACTGAGGCCCAGAGGGGTGAGCTGACTTACCTGAGGCCACAGCTCTAGGACATGACAGACTGGAACTAGAAGGCTGGTGGCTTGGGGTCCTGGTGCTCCATTGCTTAACACATAATGCGGACGACTTGGGGTGGTAGGAGAAAGGAAGAGAAGGTGACCCCACAGCCCCTAGCAACGGAAACAACAAAAAGGACTTGAGGCACTCATAAATAATTAAGCAATTAACTGCAGCAGCAACTCCCCTCCCCTCGAGCATCCAGTCACCAAGGCAACTTGGGCAGGGTGCCTGCTGGTTGCCTAGTAACAGTGTGGTCTGTTCCCCTGACATGCTCCCTAGGCATCAAAGGATTTGAAAGCTGGGAAGAACCTTAGACCATTCCAACCCCTTCCATTTTCAAATGAGGAAATGGAGGCCCAGAGAAGCTGGGTAACCTGCCCAAGGTCACACAGCCACCCAGAGGCATAGCCAGGCTCCCTTTCCAGTGACTTTCCATTAGAGTATCAGGGAAGCCCCAGGAAAACTACAGATGAAGAAGAGAAGCACTCTCCATGGTTCTAAAAGAATGAGAATCGAAGCAAGCAAGAGACAGAGACCTTGAGCACTCATATGCAATTAGCAGGAGCTGGTAATCCCATCAGCCCAACTTTCATCATCACCATGGCAACATGGGTGAGGCGATGCTGGTTGCCTAGTAACAAGGGGTCCTCTCTCTTCCACTCATATCCGACTCCCTGGGAGTCACAGGAACAGTAGAATGTTGGAGTTGGAAGGGAAGGCAAGAATCCTAACTCAGTCCCTTCCTTTAAATGGTGAGGGATACTGGGTTTGGGGCTTGGGAAACCTGTGCAAGTCACAAATCCCAGAGCTAGGGACATGCCCTTCATGGATTCACTCTGTCATAGGCTGAAGAAGGAAGGTTCTACTCCATTACTCCATAGAGTCAGAACACAGGTACAAATATGTCTGGTGGTTCCTTGAGAGGACAGAGTTCTACCACTTGTGTAATGGTGATGATGCCACACACAAACCCCAGCACAAAGTAGATCCCAGCAGTTAAACTTTGAGTCTCTAAGGTCAGAAAGCCCAAGTCACATGTACTGAGGCTCCACATGTGAGTCACGGCCATCCTTACAGTCCAGATTGCTCAAGATATCATTAAACAAAACAATGTGCCAGTTAAAAAAGTGATGCCAATGTTTCATCCAATAAATGTTTTTGGCATGTCCATTATGCAAATGCCACCAACCTAGGCTCTTGGGATCACAAGAGAACAATACAAAATTTATAGACAGAAAAAATTCGTGCCCCAGTGACCTGATATTTCAGGGTGTGTGTAATGTATATATCTGTATTCAAATTTTAAGTGTTTGTTGAATGAGTACAGGCACTCACTGGCAATATGCTGTTTATATTGCTGGGCTCCTTCTCTGAGGCTGAGAATCTTCCTGTTTACATCGAATGGTGCTATAAATATGCAGAGCTGTGGTCCACGTGGGAACTCTGCTCTCTCTCCTTTCTGTTGAGAGCTCAGAAGAAAAAGGATGGCTGTGGCCACTAGATGGCAGACCCCAGATTCCCTAGACACAAGGTGCTAGAAGGCAAGGGCCTGGGCATAGACCTGGGGAAAGCTTCCAGCAAAACTATCCTTACAGCTGCTTAGCCCTAGGCTTCTAGCCATGGCTCAGAAGGGTGGGGAGGCATGAGACTAGTCTGAAACCCTGGGAGAAGGAGGTGTCAAAGGAAATTGTGGTGTAGTTTAAGAGCAATTGTTTTGCATGAGTCTGACCTAGCATTTAACTGAGATTTTAAGGCATTATTAGTCTTGCTGGGCTCCAGATTCCTCAGCCAAGACAAGGAGACAACAGCTTATCTTTTACCCTATTTTAAAGATCCCCTTGCTCCCAGAGTCTGGTTTTGAGCTACAAATGAAAGAGGCAAAGGAAACTGCACTGAGGAAGCATTTGCAATGAGGAGACTGGGGTCTACTGCTCATCAAGCCCGATGCATTGAAGCTGGGATACTCTACACGACAGACTCCACCTGTCAGCTGCAGTCTCTGTCCTGTCCTCCCTGCACCTTCTGGGTTGTTCTTCCTTCTTCATTCTCACAGATGCCACCCACCCCCGGTCCCCATTTCTTGAGTTCCAGTAAAGAGCGTCATGGAGCTACCACACCCCATTAGCCAGCCTACCTCCAACTCATGTCCTGAGATCAGCTGCCACACAGCAGCCCAAACACTGATTTATTGTGCCCTAAGGCTCCTCTAGCTTCTCACTACTTCCAAGACAGACCAGATTCTTTCTGGCAGCCAACAAGACTTGGAAAGCTCTGGGTGCTTCCTGCCTGTCCATCACACAGTTGACCTCTTCCCTTTCCTTACAGCTTCACTGGGGCCACAGGGCACCTGCACATGCTGTCCCTCCACTGAA